TCTGGATGGTCTCTCTTCTGCATTCGCTCCCACCTTAGGGCTTTCGCCCTTGCAGTGCACTCTACCTAGAATCCTCTACCCTACATTTTGGCATGGGTTGGTATATTTGTCGTCTAGGTCTCTATTCTGATGTCACCTTTTTAAAGAGACATTTCTTGACCCACTATACTTGAAAATACCCAACTTCTCCCCCAGTCTACTCTTGTTTCCTATGGCTCTTATCCAAGCACGAACATTTTCACTTATTTATTTACTTGTTTGTCATCTGATTAATTCACTAGAAGTGTCCTGTTCAATGCAGTAGCCACTAACCACATGTTGCTGTTACATTTAAATGCAAATTAATTAAATCAAATGTAAAGTTTAGTTCCTTGATTGTAATAGCCACCTTGCAAATGCTCAGTAGCTATCTGTGGCTAGTGGCACTGGACAACAACAAGGCAGAACATTTCCGTAAGCCAGAAAGTCCTGTTGGATGGTGCTACATTGAAACAGGAGTCCCAGGGGCCAGCAGGTGGTGTGGTGGTTAACGCGCTGAACTCCCACATGGCCAACTGTAGTTCAAGTCTCAGACCTGGTGGCTTGAAAATCATGCCAGGCACATGTGCAAAATCCAGAGAAGAGAATGGAGGAGAAGAGACTGTGTGGCATGACCATCCCCGCTTGGGGGGGATTTCTTACTTTTGCCCCCACTGTCTCTCTCTGGTGAGAGCACTGTTCTATGGAAACCTCCCTCCTCCCCCCAAAAAATAGGAGTCCCCTAAGGGCAGAGTCACGCAGGCTAGTTCACTGCTGAATGTCCAGTGCCCATGACTGGTGTGGTGCTCCGTAAGCATGAAGGGATGAGTGAATGAATAAGAGCCTTATGCTTTTCAGAATTTCCCTCATAACTTGAATATTCATCTTCAGTTCTTCCATATTCCTAAATAAGCTTACGTTGCAGGGTTAAAGTAAAATTTGTTTCTTAGTATATAGGGGGGGGATTGGGGAAAATACTTAATCATTATAATGGAATCTCTTCCAATGCTTTTGAATGGGCCATCTTTCACCTCTTCTTAGTCTCACTTAGACGCCCTCCTTCAAATGAAGTCCTTGTCTGACATCCAAGAGAAAGCCACTTTTTTTCCCATCTCTATGCAGCATGACAAACCATTTTCCTCTCTTTATCTCTATCTTTATCTCTATTGGCAATGTATGCACAGGTTTTTTTTCCTAACACTCACTATGGCTATAGTTCTCAGAAGTTGAAAATACGGAATGTCTGTGCCTGCGGGTGGTGCTTGTGCTGTTTTTTGGAGTTTATCTTGTGAAGAAAAATCATACTTTGCAAAAGCTCATGAGCTTGCAGTCCCCTGTATCACAGTGAACTGGCAGGGGCTGCCGCTGCATAAGGATTGTGGCTGAGTGTTGATTAAAAGCAGCACTTTCCCTCTGGCTTGCTTCAGAGCTAATACCCTTATAAATTGTTGCTATGAACTTTTGAACTCAGAGAAGCTTCAGAATATATGTAATAAGAAAGAAGGTAATCCAGGGCTGAGAATTTGTGTCTTCCCCAAAACAAATCACATAGAATAAAAAAACAAGTTGGATTCTTGACTTTTTAATGGTTTCTTATAATTTAATGTTTCACAAATGATCTGGAACCTTTATACTGCATATAAAGTTTTTAAAGAACAGTTCTATATGCAGTTGTCTAGATAAGAAATCATTCCATAAAGTAGATATAGAAATTATTTTCTAATAAGAATAGTTTAAAAACAATACTATATCATTTTTGTTTTGAGACAGAGGACATATTTAAGCACAGAATAATTTACTAAATCATGTTCTGAAGTCTAGAGTCTAGGAATTTATTAGATTTGGACTATCAGATGAATGTGAAAACATTTAAATTTGGGATAGGTTTCATGTGTCATGTCTTCCTGCCTGAGTAACGACATTAATTTTAAACTTTGAAGTCAACACACGTAAGTAGTAGATCCACTGTATCTTTCTACAAAAGCTCAGCGAATTAGTGAACACTCTCATTTAATGAGACATTATGAGAGAAATGTAATGGCTATTAGAAAATTGTATTAAATTTATTTTTTTTGAACAAGAGAAAACATAGTATGTCTTTTTAATTTTTTTTTTATTTTTAAGAGGTTTTTGCTCTAGGGCATGTGCACTCGCCAGACAGATAGACAGAGACAGAAAGCAAAAAATCACCCCCCAGGGGGGGATGGCCACGTTGCAATCCCTTATCCTCCATTCCCCACTCGGGATCTTGGGCACGCATGCACACGTGCCCGGCGTGAGTTTTAAGCCACTGGGTTCAGGACGCGAACAGTGGTTGACTACGTGGGAGTCCAGCGACAGCCATTAGGCTAACTGCTGGTCCCGATGTCTTTTTAAATTTTGAAACCCGTTTTTAGGTTTTTGCAATGGGGCATGTATAGTCACTGGAGAGACAGAGAAAGACAGTGAGTAGGAAAGCGAAACCAGCCCCCCAGGAGGATTGCCATGGCACAATCCTTTCCTCCTCCGCTTGCTTTCTGGGATTTTGTGCACACAGGCACACACGGCTAGTATGCGTTACAAGCCAATCTGGGATTTGAACTGCACTCGGCCATGTAGGAATCCAGCGCCTTAACCACCATGCTACCTAGTGGCCCCACATGTCTTTGAACTCTGAATGACAAGCTAGAATGTATAGACTTAGACAGAGCTCTCATTCTCTAACGTGTTGTTAGTCACAAATAACAATGCCCTCAGGCATCTCAGGAGGGGACCTCAGGTCACAAGGATTCCCATGTAGCAAATATAGGTAGTCAGAGAACCTGCCAGATTTTGCTTTGTTTGTTTGTATTAGAAGTTTTTGCCTTACAGGAAAGTGGGATGGCCACACTGCAGTCCCTTCTCCTCCATTCTCCTCTCAGGATTTTGGGCGCGCGCGCGCACACACACACACACACACACACACACACACCCAGCATGATTTTCAAACCACACTAGGTCCAGGACTGGAATCACCGTGGACTATGTGGGAGTTCACCATAACCTCTGCACCAGCTGCTGCCCCCCCTGTTGGGTTTAAAGAACCCCTTCATGCATTAGGATTGATTATCTGCACTTGGAGGGAGGCTCTTTCATGCAGAAGTGAAGAAACTTTTTCCTAGGAAGGACCTGAAACCACTTTCCCACCATTCTCTTTTGGATTTTGTCGAGAGTTTGATGTCAGAATTGCTTTTGGCTCACGGAGAGAGACCTAGATGTTGAGTAACACGGCCAGCCTTTCTGCCTGAAAGACTATCCCACAACAAGCAAATGCGCGGGAATGCTTGGAAGCGCTTCCAAAGCACTTCAGATGTCTCCAGCAGCATCCGTTGAACAGAATGCCTGGAATGGCGTCCGAGCTGGGGACGATCTTCCAGACAGGCTGCACAGTCCGCCTGAGAAGCGAGTTTCTCTCACGCGACAGCCCGTGGTGCCGAGAGCTGTCCTGGTAACTGGTAACCCAACAGGAGCCTGCTGGCTCCCACCCGCTCCAGCGTCTCGCACCCCGGATCCTGTCTTATCAGCCGAAGAGGGAAGGCTTTTGGCCCCATTCGTTCTGAATCATAACCTTCCCACAGTTACTTGCTGTGTGAGTTAATGAATATCACTCAGCCTGGGTCTCCATTTTCTCCTCTCTGAGGTGGGCGTGATTGCACCGTTCGGCAGAGCTGTCAGTTCTAGAAGTTAGGCATGCAAACTTGGCACATGGTAGTTGTTCAAAAGCAAGGCTGGGAGGGACCAGCAGTTAGGTTCATGGCTATGTCGCAGGACTCGCATGCGCCCTATAGCAAAAACCTCTCCAGAAAAAGAAAAGCAAGGCTGGGGGAATCAGGAGCAAGTGGTTGGTTTAATTGTTCAAGGACTGATGTTCTGGGGTAATGGATGGGGCAACGGATGGATGAGGAGAGAGGAGTGAAGGGGTCATGGAGTCCCCAGAGGGCCAGGAGCCCCACACGTACCCCAGGACTCCATAGGCCAGGGCCACTGCAAAGGCTTCTGGGTCCAGTGCTCACCCTCCTTTGCTGGGCTGGGGCCTCGCACTGGAAAGATGCCTCTGGTGTGTGTAGAGGGAGGGAGACGGAGATGGGGCGGGCTCTTGGAGACCGAGCGTGAACCGGGGGCCGGAAGCAGTCATGCCCGTCCCCGCGTGGGCTGCTGTCCCCGGCCCTCCAGCCTGGCCATTCCCAGTACCCCGAGCCTCTTAGTCCACCCCCAGCAGACTCTTGTCCACACTCTGTGCCCCCGGGCTTGGTTAGTGAGCGGAGTCCTGCCATTGGACTCTCTCCCCAGATGCTGTCTGTCTCTGCTGTCACCCGGGGGAGTCACTTTCAGCACCCCCTCATCCCTGCTCATCACCTTTATTTAAAAACATTTATTTTACTATGGGAGAGAGGAATACCTAATGAATAAGGTCATTCTTAGACGGTAATTTCTATTAAGATCTTACAGACGTGTGTCTTTTCACCATTGAAGTGCAGAATATGTTTCTTCGTAATTTATTCAGGATATTTAGAAGAACAAGAAGCAAGTCCATCTCTTTAGTGTCATAACATTTCTTAGCTGCAACTCTTCTTGGAGTAAAGGAGAACTCTGGTTTTTGTTCCTTTCTCTTATTTTTTTAAACAGTTTATTTATTTATGTATTTATTTATTTTTAGATTTTTGTCATAGAGTCTGTGCACTTGCTGGAGAGAGAGAGGGAAAGTGAGAAATCACCCCTCGGGGAGGATGACCATGCCACAATCTCTTTTCTTCCATTCTCCTCCCGGGATTTTGGGCACCCACACACATGTGCCTGGAGTGTTTCAAGACGCCAGATCTGGGACTTAGACCTCAGGCCTGGCCATGTGAGATCCAGTGCCTTAACCCTCACGCCACCTGCTGGCCTCAGAACTCTGGTTCTTTGGATTCCATTTACTTAGCACTTAAAGTTCATATTGTCATGTTTCTGTGAGATTTCTCTAGGTGTACTCCACGAGAAAAAGCATTACCGTACATACCAGAGGTCTTCATCTGGATGATCAGGAGAGGGAAACAAAGACCACTTAAAAGGTAAAGTCTCTAAAAACTGGATGTATTGGGTCATTGGAAAAGCTGTGACATATTTTTCTATGCAAAAATGCACCATGACTTTCCCAATGACCCAGTATATTATCTAATTAAGATTTGTCCTGGGGACCAGCAAATGTTGTATTGGTTACATCACTGCATTTCCATGGAGTCGACCACAATTCAAGTTCCAGATCCTGTGTCTTAAAACTCACACTGGGCTTGTGTGCTTGTGTGCCCAAGATCCCGAGAGGAGAATGGAGGAGAAGGGATTGTGGTGTGGTCATCCCTCCCGGGGCTGTAGGGAGGGGAGAGTGAATTCTCACTTTCTGTCTTTCTGTCTCTCCAGTGAGCACATGCACCCTATAGCAAAAATCTCTTAAAAAAAAAAAAAAGATTCATCCTGAAAAATGATGAAAATAAGTTCATTAATGCCTATATTTAAAAAAATTCAGATGACATCTTTTGAATAAATTGGTAATTGAGTCTGGCAACAAAATTACACATTTACATTACATGACATCACTTTGTACTTGGCTTTATAGTACATCGTAAGAGACAGTTGTGTTTGCAAAAATGTTCCTGGGCTTCACCCACTTACCCAAAGTCCTCTCTTTATCTTTATAGTCAAATTAGTCTCTTGTGAAGGATCTATGGCATCATCCTCTTTGTTGATATCTTTCTGAAATGAACTCTTTCAGCTTTTCTAGTGGCCTAGGTGTATTTAGGATTTCCAGGATCACTTTCTCTGCTATAAGGGGTCCCGGACCCTCTGCAAGCTTAGCAGTTTCATATCCAACTCATGTGTGCTGGGTCTGCATTGCACAGAGGGTTCAAAGCCTCCAGGACACCGTGAGGTTCCAAAGAGAGGAAGTACTTTGCACAGGGAAGCTTGATGGGACGTTTTCATGAAAAAAAAAAAAAAAGACAGTTCATGAATATTTTCATGTTGTGATGATTTTTACATCTTCATGCAACCTTGAACCTGTGGGAAGTGAGATAGCTAGGGTTCCCTGTGTAGGACAGCTGTCATTCCCTGCCCTACAGGGCCCCCGCATGGTCTTCGACACTGTGTCTGCTCGCGCTGTCACTGGCCTTCTCTGAACACACTGTCTCTCAGCATTGTTTTTTGTTTTTTGTTTTTTGAGAGATTTTCACTGTAGGGCGCGTGCGCTCACCAGACAGAAAGAGACAGAGAGACAGAAAGTGAGAAGTCACCCCCCAGGGGGGATGGTCACACCGCAATCCCTTCTCCATTCTCCTCTCGGGATCTTGGGCACGCACGCACACGCGCCTGGCGTGAGTTTTAAGCCACCGGGTCCGGGACGTGAACCACGGTCGACTACATGGGAGT